AAGACCATGCAAAGCATGGCCGGTTTTGACGGATCTGATTCAGAAAGATGGTTCACATCTGAGCATGGCGCTGGAAGCACGGCTTGAGGAAAAAAGGTTGCAAACGCCATCTTTTCTCGCGCATTTTTGCATTGTTTTGTCCATGTCCACGGGCGTATCCAAACTTCAGTGATTAGAGGTACCGCTTTCAAGAGGTCTTTGGATAAACAGCAGTGGCCCCAGCAAGCCTGCATCATCCAAATGCCTGTTTGGCCATTTCGGATTTGCAGGCTTATAAGTATTCCTTGTAATTCAGGTTAGCGGCTGAAGTGGGCCTGGGTACAGCATCCCTGGCGACAGTAAATCGCATTGGGAATGCCTATTCTTCGGAAGTTTTTTCGTGCTGGCCTCAAAACTGCACACTATTTGGGTTTGAGATATGTCGTATTTGCGTGGTCAGGTTGCAGAGAAGGGAGGATGCTAGAGCTCACCGCAAATTGGTTCGTGCTGACTTAGCTTTTGCAAATCTCATTACCCACCACTATATTCCAGTGAAGCTGGAAGAGGGTGGCATGGAGCTGCAAGCTTGGCCTTTCATCCGACCTGAATCAATGGACACGGCCTCAGTGATTCAGTATGAAACGTGCATTGTTTCGATTTGCCGTTTATGTTCCATGGCATTCATTCATGCTGCATGCATTGGTGAGTTTAGGTGAAGTGCTTATTGCAGATGGGCCACAGGAATTTGTTGGGCCATGCAACAGAGGAGTACTGGCAGGTTTTACATCAACATTTTTCCATCGCTCGACCTGATGACTGCACAGACTGTATTCCAATCAGTGTGTTTGGCGACGAAGTAGAAGTCTTTGATGGTCTGCAATATGCCTGCGTCAATTGGTCTTCAGATGTGGCCCTGCACCATTCCGACGCCATGATATCAAAATTCTTGTGTGTCATGATTCCGACAACAGCTTATTACTTCCGTGGCAAAACAAATTTGACTCTGCAGGAAGCTATGAAAGTGATTGTTCGCTCCTTGAACCGCTTGTACCATCAAGGTCCATTGCGCTTGGTGGTTTGTGCGCTGAAAGGTGACTGGAAATGGATGGGGCAAATTTTGAATGCAAGAAATGGCCCTTCTTCGAATTCTATTTGTTACAAATGTGCTGCAACAAAGAACTTGGATGCCCCCTTGACGGACTTAGCAGCAACTGCGGTTTGGAGGAGCTCACCATTGCAAGGTGATCAGGTTTGGTGGGAAGTTCCAGCTATAGCAGAGCTCGTTGGATTTGGTATGCAACTTTTTTGCCCAGACATCCTGCATACATACCATCTTGGTATTGGAAGAGATGTAGTGGCCAGCATATTGGTTCTTTTGCTGAAAATTGGATGCTTTCCTGGCCGTGACGTTCTCTAGCAGCACTATGACGGGATCTCAGGGTGATTTTCATGGACGCATGCATGACCATGCCAATTTCATACAGTCATGTGGGACACAACATGCATGACATGACATGTAGACCATGGACCATGGGCGAATTTGTTCACGCATGTGAAGCATGACACGAACCGTCATGGCATGGCATGAGAACCCATGCATGAGAACCCATGCATGCATGTCCTCAGCCATATTTACATGATATGTAAATCAATATATAATATATCACATTGTATATTATATATACATATTTTATATTATTACATCTATTTATATATACACATATCAAATTAAATCAATACACCTCTCTCTCTCTTTCTTTCTTACTTTCTTTCTTTCGTTCCTTTGTTTGTTTTTCTCTCTCTCTCTCTCTCCCCCTCTCTCTTGCCACGCCGTTACAGTTGAATTCCCCAAAGTCTGGTACACTCTCTAAGGCATCTTGGAATTAAAATTCGCCTCAATCCCGTCATTGTGGCCAAAGCCAAAATGCAGTTAGAAATATGGAATTCACGTGGCTAAAAACTTGCGCCGCCAGAAAATACACCTTCTTCCGTGCGCATTTTTGGTCTCCAGGCACGGCATATTTAAAATACACCTGTCCCAAAGTGTATTTTTGGTGTTTTGACGTTGTGTATTTTTTGCATATGTTTGGTGCATTTGCGATGCGATTTTTGCTAAAAAGTGTATTTTTTTTTACGCGTTTGGCACCTGTGTCTCGCCCAGGCGTATTTTTTTTACGCCTTGGGCATCTGCGTCTTGTGCAGGTGTATTTATTTTACGCGTGTGTGGAAATCGGACTTGCACGTTTACTGCGAGTGTATTTTCTTACCCGCACATTGTGCATTTTTTTTGGAAAGTGCATTTTTGGACTGCACCTGTGGAAACAAAAATCACATTCTTGCTGCAAGTGTATTTTGGCAGCACATGTTTTCCTAAGGTCAAGCGTACTTTTAATTGTTTTAAGATAGTTAGAGTCTCTACCGGGTTTGGGGAATTCAACGTTACAGGTTAAAGCGAGGATGTTGAGGGCGAGTCTGGAGATCAAGGCATGGTGCAAGGAGCACTCGAAATATCGGCTGCCAAGCAGATGGCACTTGTCAAAGACGAGGTTGAGCTTGAAACGGGGAAAGTTTGTGCACTACGTGGGAAAAGGGTGGCACGTATCAGTCATTCTTGGCTTTTTGCGTGACTTCATGGAAAACCTCAACGTAGACTCGGACCTCAAGATGCTAGTCTGGTCTGGTGATGAGCTTATGTCTTTCCTCCACGCTGAAAGGCAGAATAGAGGCCTTCTTTTGACAGAGGCTGGTATTCATCAAGTGACAGTTCTGGGAGATTTTCACCTGAAGATGCTTTTGGTTGCAAGCCAGAAGCACACCGGCTTCTCCACCTACAGGTTATTCAACGTCAGACCGAAGTTCCATGGCATGTCCCATATTTTGGACTTTGCATCAACTGGACGCAATCCGGTCACTCAATCATGCTGGATGGAAGAGGATTGGGTACGCAAAGTTGCGAATCTAGCGAAGCGTACCCACGCAAGGAAAACAAAACTGAGTACCCTTCAGCGGTATTCTGCAGGAGTGGCATTTGAATTTGGTATGCGCTAGCTTTGCACTTTGCTGTGCTTGACACCCTGCATATTGGCAGGATTAAAATTTTGCTTGGAACAGAAGCAGGTGCACATGTTTGGCGATTCTTTTGCCAAAAGATTGATGATTTGCAATGCTTTGCCATGTGCTGTCCCAGTTTCTATTACGCCTATGCATGCCAGGCAGAGATGGTGATGGGGAGACCCTAGTGACTAAACATAGCCTGGGGAATTGTCGTGCGTCCGAGTTGCTTGCAAAAAGCGATCAGCTGCCAAACTTTCTTGGCCAGTGTCACATGGAACACATGTTACGTTTTAGTGTGTTTTACGTCAAGTGCTTTGTTGGACCAATATTTATTTTGCAAAAAGCGTGTTTTTGAGCTATCTGCCTCATTTTGGGGATTTGGCATGTTCCCACTGCTTCAAATCTAAGGGGCTATCATGTTGATAGGGGGTTTTCAAGTTGATACGGGGAAATAGGAGGGTTTTAAGGTAGAAATGTGCCTCTGGGTTTATGGTGTCTATAGAATATATAGCTAGTTGATGTGGTTTATCAACAAACATTCACTTCACTGGCAAGGGCCACCTTGTCGGAAGAAATGCGGTGTTTTGGTGCTTGGATCATCTTTCATCATTCCGAACTGTGTTTCTGTGCTTAGTTCACCCACTAAAACAGGGATAAGCCCAAGAAGTGGAGACGTTCTAACTATTTGGAGGATCCCAACGAATTGTAGGTGCTTATGAAAACCCTATGTTAGCAAGTCCCTGATTCCTAGGGTCGTCCCATCTATAAGTATAGGCTATAACCTCAGTCACTAACCAGTTACTAACTGTGGTGATCCTCTATGGCTCAATGGGTTGATTTTCTTGGGATTATCTTCACGGGGAAGTGGCTGGCTCCCATCAAAAAAAGGGGCTGGGTTCAGGTTTTGATTTTCCCTTAAACCAATCCAACAAATGCAAGTATACATTGTCATCTTTGTTGTTGTGGTTGTGGTTGTGGTTGTGGTTGTTGTGGTTGCTGTGGTTGCTGTTGCTGTTGCTGTTGCTGTTGCTGTTGCTGAGGCTGTTGTTGTTGTTGCTGCTGTTGCTGTTGCTGTTGCTGTTGCTGCTGCTGCTGCTGTTGCTGGTGCTGCTGCTGCTGCTGCTGCTGCCGCTGCTGCTGCTGCTGTTGCTGCTGCTGCTTGTGCTGTTGCTGTTGCTGGTGCTGGTGCTGTTGCTGTTGCTGGTGCTGGTGCTGTTGCTGTTGCTGTTGCTGTTGCTGTTGCTGTTGCTGTTGTTGTTGTTGTGCATTCATTTTTATAATGGTTTTGTTCATGATTGGTATTATAGAATGATTAACATTAACCAATACTGTTATGAATAACTTTCTTACTACTATATTGGTTGTCATTGTTGATACTATCATCTACTATGAATATCAATTTCATATCTGAATATAGTATATAACCTGTGGTTATTTAACGTAGCTTTGGGAAATCACCATTTTTAATAGGTAAATCATCATAAATCCTGTATAAATCGGCCATTTTCCATAGCTATGTTAAATAAACAGAGGGTAATATGATTATACATTATTCATGGGCCGATTTGTTGTTATCGTACTGTGATCCATCTGTGTAGAATGCAGATCTCATGTAGCAAATATTGGTGATTATGTTCACCATGATGGTCAGGACTACTGAGGGTGAGGAACCTTCCATCCAGAAATACAGCGCAAAATCCTACCCGAATCCTGGCAAAATCGGACCTGTTCTGTACTACCAAGACATGACAAATAACTACCGCTAATTTACCTGTGGATTATCACTACTTTGGCTAGGAATAAAATTTGACAAATGACTTTCACATCCAAAAACTTATCGAAAACTAGTAGTTCAATATAAGTGGTGACTTAGTGGGTTTTTACATGTTTTTACTATGTTCGATCCTTTTTGTTTTTGTTCGTACATGTTGCTCTTAAGTCCCCTACGAGGGACCATCCGGCCGCACCTCGAAGTCGAAAGTGGTGACCCCCAAAGGCGTTGCACGGATGTTCATCCCTGATGGCTGTCGAAGGATGGCTGGGGCTTTCCTATTTTAGGAAACCTCCAAGTCTGATTCTTGATAGATTAGGAACCTAATGGAACCTAATGGAACTTTGTTCGTAGCACTTCAACTTATTTTCACCTTTAAAAGACCTGGGAAATGTTATTCAAGCACTGTTTGAAGCTGTTTTTTCGTGTTTTGCTGGCCACTAAGGCCACAAATTCTGTGGTTCTATGACTCATGATACGCCGGATAGTGACCTCTTTGGGATGGTAATCGAAAATTCCCAGTGGTATTGATATAGTCTACAGCAGTGTATTGTTGGTTCAATACGCATATTTAAGGTTTTCACAACAATGTATATATAAAATTCAAAACCCAGTTTTTGCAGATGCTACCATAGTCGAATTCCAGTTTCATCCCAGACTTGCTTCCAATAGAATGACAGTTGAGGAGTGTTCGAAACCCTCTGTTGTCCCTTTATATTGGCTGGTTAAAAAAGGGGTTTCCCAGTTAATGGATTATGATAATCACCAATATAATCATCAATATAATCCATATAAAGGGGTTCCCCAATATAATCATCAATATAATCATCAATATCATACCCAGTTATGGTTACAAAAGGGTTTCCCACTTATATTGGACGGTCTATTCCCGTATCATCATCAACCAACCACGATGTGCGAATTATCTCCACCTATCCACCCAGAATTTGATGGTTAAAATCCCGATCAACAATGACGCCCCGAAAAAATCATCAAGCACTTGGAAGATCATCCCACTAAATAACTATAGGTAGTAAGAATGCTTGAACCACATGCGGCACTTGGACGGCAATTCTTTTTGCTCCAGGAAACACTGTTTTTCACACTACCTTTGAGCTGTGGTGACCTACTGCATTGTTTGCATCTTTGCAATCCTCTGTGAACACCCGGCATTCCAAAACCCTGCCACCCTCTTCCCATCTGAAAGGGTGCACATAGATGAAGATGAGGTCAAGGTCGTTGATGGGCGAGGCAGGAAGGTGATCATATATACTTGAATATTATTTCTTGTAGAGTTCTTAGTTAAAGGAATATTGCGATTATATACGATTTAGTAATATGACCTTGCCCATCAAACCAACCCCCATCACAGCATATCACACCAACATCTCAATCTCACACCATATGTTGCCAAATAAATAAGATAAAATCCTGGGATACTTGGCGGACCGGAGGTTGGAAAGTGGGCAAGGTCAGCTCTAATATATGTAGGATAACCCTATGAAATCCCGAAAGAAACTATCAACCAACCGGGGTTGAACTGTCGCACTGCCGAGTTTAATCCGTTCAAACCGCCAGGTCACGCGTTTTGCTGAGCGTGGAGTGTTTTGACGAAGCACTCCTCAAAGCCGCAAGGCTTCCATAGACCTAACTTTTTGGAGCTCCAAACAGGATAGGTTCACCAAGAAATGGGCATCAAAATCCCCGTCGGTACCAAAAACGTGGGGTACAGTCCTAGAAAAAAATCGGTCTAAAATGATGACCCCTAACCTTTGAGAGAGGTTTTAGAGCTTTAAATTCCTGGCTCCTAACCTCTGAAGCCGAAATCTCACTTCCAACCACCTTTTTGAATTTTCTTTGCTAATTTCGTGGTGCCCAACGTCCAACATCCAATAAATTTACCCCTCTCATATCCAAGTAAAAAAAATATTTCCTGGATGCTTGCGTTGGTAACATGCCATATCTTCCCCCCCTCAATCTGATACGGAAAAAAATGAATTCCTGGCACCTGACTTCCCGGCTGACAGCTCGCAGTTTTTCAGAGTCCACGGCTTCACGAGTGCGGTCCGGCAGATGCCCACAGCAATGCGCAACCCTTTTGCATGGACAAATGTATCTTCAGGAAAAAACGCCTGTTTTGCAATTTGGCCACGCGTTGGAACAAAATTCTTCAATTTGTCCCATCAGTTCCTATCTATGGATGGTTGACCTGGTGATGCGATTTTTTTCCTGTGGGGCCAGCCTTTGAAGATCATCCACAAGAATTCGGCCAAAAAAAGGTCCAGCCCCTTGGATTTTATTTTTGACACCTGCGCCTCGGCCTCTTCAAGTCACCTTTTTTTGGTTGGTGAAGCTGAACATATGTGGTTGTACCCTTTTGCAAGGACAAATGTATTTTCAGCAAAAACATATGTTTTGCAATTTGGGCGCGCATTGACACAAAATTCTTGAATTCGTCCCATCATGTCCTATCTGTGGATGATTGGCCTGGTGATGCGACTTTTTTCCTGTGGGCCAACCTTTGAAGATTATCCGCAAGTATTCAATCAAAAAAAAGTCCAGCCCCTTGGATTTTATTTTTGACACCTGCGCCTCGGCCTCTTCAAGTCACTTTTTTGGTTGGTGAAGCTGAACATGTGTGTCTGTACCCTTTTGCAAGGACAACTGTATTTTCAGCAAAAAAGCATGTGTTTTGCAATTTGGGCGCGCGTTGACACAAAATTCTTGATTTCGTCCCATCATGTCCTATCAGTGGATGATTGGCCTGGTGATGCGACTTTTTTCCTGTGGGGCCAACCTTTGAAGATCATCCGCAAGTATTCAGTCAAAAAAGGTCCAGCCCCTTGGTTTTTATTTTTGACCCCTGCGCCTTGGCCTCTTGAAGTCACTTTTTTGTTGGTGAAGGTGAACATATGTGTTTGTACCCTTTTGCAAAGTCATGTAAAGAATCATACCCCCTCAATTAATCATGGTACATTTTTTCCTGGGGTTTGACATTTAGATTTAGATATGTTCTAGTAAACTCCCATTTGATCCATCCACCTTCAAATTCCTGGCTACTAACCTTGGGAATTCTACAAACTTACCCATTATCAGAGTCATTCATGATTGATTTCCTGATGCCTTACATACACAGACTGATAGATCAACCCCCCCTCAATCACAACAGACAGAAATTGATTTCCTGTCGCTGTACGTCAGGAAGCTTTCAGGAAAAAAAATATGGGCCTTTTTTGGTATGATATTTTATTCCTGGCCCCATATCATGCCCCGGGACCCTCACCCACTGTCTGCTAGATTTTTGGAAAATAGTGTTTTTTAAAAAGCGTACTGAACCCCCAGGAAAAAAAACTGGTAGTACAGAGGAGGATCATCAAAACTATGAACGTGGGGGTTGACACTCTGGTAATTTGACAGTTTGCTATGTTTTTTTTTTTGAATAGGTAAATATCAACAAACCATGGATTCCATAGCTATGTTAGTTTACCCGAGAGTATACCAAACGGGGATTGTTGCTGAATCTTATACGATTTGACGAAAAAAAAACGCAGCAACGGTATCATTGAGAATGCGGGGATTAGCCAACAAAATCTGATGTTTAACCAACACGATGGGCCCCCAAGATAGCGTTCAGTTGCCTTATAAGTGGCTGAATTCTATGGTTTATGGTAGATATAACTATAGTTAATGGAGGTTATAACGCAACTTATAGTTGAACATAGTTATAAACAATAAACCATAGTTATGTTGGTAAACCATATAGTTATTGGCCACCCAGTAGTTCGCTTATTTCATGGTTATTGGCCACCAACCTACAACTGGGGGGCCCATCCTGAATGAAACGAAAAAAAGGATTTCAGCACCAAAAGACTTGGGATTTCACCAAGATGTGTGTTAAGCTATTGATACATTTATTATCCACAAGTGATGGATGGATATTCATTATGATCTATAGATACCTGAGTGTTATATTGGATATCACTTGGGATTTCACTTGGGATAGATATTTATTATTATCTATAGTGATGGATATAGTGATGGATGAATGATCTATCGTGATCTATCTGAACATTCATAGTGATAGTAATATATAGTAATAGATAAATGCATCAACTATGAAATCTATCTAGAATCTACAAATCTATGCACAAAAACATATAGGAATGGGGTGGAAAAAACCATCCCTTTTCAGAAACTTTCGAGGAGATGTATTTACACATATTTACACACTAAATACCTATTACAACTTGAGAAGTCAAGGTGGTTTTACCCATTGACTTTGTCTAAAACATGGCACACTGGCACAGCTAAATCCACTGTTTGATCATCATGTTCTTTATTACACTGGGCATTCTTTGCATACAAAAGTTGTGGAACCTGGCTATCCAACACATGCCACTTGGTGGTTCACCCCAACTAGCTGGGTAGCAATTCTGGCAGGGCTGATCCAAGCTTCGGATGGCCTGTCTACAACTGAGTCTAGCAAGCTGAACTATCAAGTCATAACTGAGGATAGTAACTAACTGTTGACTAACTGAGATTCTAACCTCGTAATTGGACCTTGTTCAGCTTTCCATTTACAGCTGACTGTTCTGGGGTAAGTCCCTTGAATCGCAGGAACGCTGCTTCAAGGACTGTGGCAAGGGGTACGAGTAGTTGCCAGGATGATCTGTAGTGGCCGCCTTCAATACTGTCTTCCACCGCTGCCAAAGGCGCAAGCGTCGTCAGGGCTATGAATTGCGAATGGAAGTTTGAGCCCGAGCATAAGAACTCGAGGTTCTCGTAAAGCTCGCCAGTGGGAAGACAAAGGGTGCCTCCTAGCACGTGCCCTGTGATCACAACTCCACCGTACCAACACTCTGGCGCTCTGGGCGATATTTGTGTCCGAGCCAGTTGCGTCGGTGGCCGACCATGAATATAGTGCCGGTGTGCATTCCACTTCTCTCAGCGTCGCCGCGCCTAGACGATGGCCAACTGGTTTGAGGCCATCAGAAGCCAATGCACTCTGCTCTCCTTCGTCAACTCCTTGGTATACCTACCCTCTGAAAAATATGAAAATCAGTTGGGATTATTATTCTCAAGTGAATGGAAAAAAATCTTCCAAACCACCAACCAGAATAACTATCAACTATTATTTGTTAGTTATTTGTTGCAAATAACATCAATGACCTCAATAACTAGGCTCAAGTGGCCCAGTGACCGAGTAATCGGTGTTACAACTGAGGTGTACCACAAAGTTAAGTCATCATTGAGACCATCATTCTCATAATATATGTTAATATATAGATATATTTATAAATCTATATTGTTAATATACTGTATAGTCATCTCAACCACTCATCCCAACATAATTCTTGAACACCAAAAAGTATGGTTGAAACCACCAAAGACAGATCAACCATAGAAAAGCACCAATCAAAACACCTCCAACACCCCAAAAAAAACCAGCCGAAGTCACAGAGACATTCCAATATCGATGGTTCACCAAGCCAACCTCAGGCGAGATCAAGGGCCTGCGCCTGGAAACACAACCAGAAGTCGCCAGCGAAACTCAGGACGTAAACAGCAATGAGAAATTTATAGTAGTGATGTATATATCATAGGTTTCTGTTGGTTCAGAAAGTTTAGAACTTGGTTTTCTATGGATTTTGATACATCTATGGTTGGATTGTTCCTTGAAGCGGCCAAAGGGGCCCCACATAGTAAGGCTATAGTAAATCGCTTGGAATCACTTGGGTAAATCCCACTACATCCCATTGTTACGGGTGACCGAACCACGAACAAAAAAGACGGAAATCAATCCCAGAAAACATTCAGAGTTAGCCCTAGAAGTTCCAGTTTTTGGTGGTTAAAACCATGGGGTTATAACATGTTATAACTGACCACAAATGGGGTATAACTTACTGATTTATAAATGGATATAAATTACGTATTTCGGGCCATAACTGTTGCAAATCGGGGAGTGTTGTGGGCCTTCATGGCATTAAAGTCTATCAAGCTCTGTACTAACAACCCTTTATACTTTTTTTTTTTTATATAATGGGACCACACAATGGATAGACATGAAAGGTATGATCCAACGCAAAACCAGGGCTTCTAAAGGTAGTTATTCATAGAAGGGTTTTTTAAAATTTTGGAGACTCATGGCCTTTCTCCCAAACGATCATTGATGCTGCTTGCATTGTGGATGGTTGAACCTTCGCCAGGACACCAAATGTACTTCATCATCCTCCAGGGTTAACATGTCGATCACGTCACTGTCCTGGCGTCATCATTTCATTGATGGCGACTGGGCGATATGATAGGTATATGATGTTTGGCCCTGGGGCCATGGGGCATGGAAAAAAAGGACTGCCCGAGTGATCCATATTGGACGAAGTCTTAGCTTAGCATGAACGGATCTCATCTGTTACAGAACTTCTGACGCAAAACCAAGAAAGGTTAGGTGATGTTAAATGTTCCGTGTATCTGATGACAAACCTGCAATAGGGATGAGTCAAAGTCAAACCTATAAGTATCAAAATTTGGGGATGAACACCCATAAATCACAGCTATCTTCATGTAAAAACCAGGGGATTACATAGATTTTAACCTATAGATCACAAAGCCATCATTGGAAATGTTGCTCATCCATGACCCTCCAACACCGGGCCAGGGCATGACACACCAAGACCATTTTGCAAAAACTAATTGGGAAAACTTATTAAAACTTGCAAGCATCCCATTATATCCTTAAAGGATATCCGAAATCAGCTTTTTCACTTACCAATCGCTATAAACAAACATGGCGTGCCGGGATCTTCCGAATAAAACCTCCATTTGGTGCAAGGATTTACCTCTTTGTTTTTTGAAATGGGAAAAATGTGGCACGTGCCTTTCCAATCCTTTGGAATTGGGGCAGCCTATTTTCAAACACATCATGTGTTTAAAAATCCACAACTTCAATCATTAGATTGGCTTAAGGGAAAACCTACAGGAAACATCAGGAAACCATAGATTTTGCCAATATGGGGGGGTTCCGGTTCCATTTTTCCCTGAAAAACCAATCCATTGACAGTTTGTTTTACGACTTTTAAACCATAGATTATCCCACAGAATTTTCCATAGATTTTCCCGAAAAAATCCAGTCCAACAGTAGCGATGCCGATCCTCTCGAATGTATGGCCCATAGTATGCTGCATCAGGACAGTCCCCTGCCGCCGGGCTCCACCTTCACTAACTAAGTTGGCTTAGAACTTGTATAATTTAAATACCCTCTGGTAAACTAACATAACTATGGAAAATCACCATTTTTAATGGGAAAATCCACTATAAATGGTCATTTTCCATAGCTATGTTAAATTACCAGAGGGTAATTTAATGTGTTATCATGAGTTACCATCTGGTTATGACTAACATAGCCATGGAAAGATCCACCATTTTTAAGAGGTACACCATCTATTTCTATGGGCCATCTATACCATGGCTATGTTAAATAACCAGAGGGTAATAGAGTTATAACTATCCTAAGGATGAACCCTAGTTATATCATAATGATACAAACCCAACCTTAGAACTTTAGGGTTCAGATAAATCCATACTTTATTAAAGTGGTTATACACCAACTTATAACTGGAGCACACCATTGGAGACAAATTAGGATCTGTTGGGTGGTTCCAATGGGTTCCATAGACCCACTATGAATCAACCAACCAGTAGCAATCCAGGACATCTATCTCTGCACCGATCTTTTAATGCCAGGCTGGCTGAACTCCCTCAGATTACAAGCTGCTGCGGAGGGCCCTCCCACATGTTTGTTGGCTCATATAAATCCGATGAATTACATGTAGTTCGATATATGTACCTTCAAGCGAAAAAACACACCCTAGTGGACCTATAAACCAGCTTAGCTAGGGCCAAGTGCGTGATTCCGAACCATAAAATAAGCCGAAATCAGCGAAAGCAATGGCTAAATGGAGGCTTTCATGGGAAAATCATCGAAATTTCTTTGGGTTTTCCAGCTACCACTTCGGCAACTTCGGCTTCGGGATCCCAGGACCCGTTATCATCGACAGTGTCCATTAAAGGACAAACATCAATGGCCATTTTATAGTATATGATCCTCTAAACAAAGTCCACTGGTAATTATGATGTACAATTATGTTTGATACCATATATATATATATGCATTGTATTATATATATATACAATGTAAATAAGATTATATATATATACATAGTATATATATATTGTTATTATATCATATACAGTATACGTATATATATATATTATACATATCATATACAGTATATATATATATTATACATATCATATACAGTATATATATATATATTTGATATTATATATTGTATATTATATATATGTGCTATATATATATATGTATATCTATATCCATATATGGTGACATCTTATGTCATCATTGTCCATCACCACATGTCACCTTTCAAATCCACCTGCCTAAGCACTGCGTGTCGTGCTTGAGACCTTGGAGAAACAGCTGGTCGCCACGGGAGATGTGCCATGGCTGCCATGGTCAAAAGATGGTCATGGAGTTGTGGCTTCTGGATGGTTATAGTATAATATAGTATAATATAGATTATAGTCATCCATCCCAAAAGACTATAACTATAACCATCCTATTAGTTTTCATGGGATCTTACAAGGTGGTGCCCCCCCCAGTTATAAGTCCGTTTATAAACCCCATTAATAGATATATCTACCAGTACCATAGACCATAGCTTGGAGTTTGAGGTCTAGAGCTGATTGATTGTTTCATTCCGGCTCCATCAACCTTCCGCAGTGCCATGACATCCGGTTTCTGAAGAAAATCGCCAAGCGACATTCCAAACCCTGAATCATCAACGGCGCAAACTTCACCGGCTGCACATCCTCCACATTCAGTTCCTGATTTTCTCGGGAAAATTGGATTGAACCCGCCAGATCATAGCAGATCTCAGATGAAAGAGGTGTGGATCGAAATGCACATCCACAAAAAAAAACATTAAACTATTAAACATCCAGGTGTTCCTACAGTGCAAAGTTGGTTTATGGAAATCTGGAGTGAACATCAATCAACTTTTTCCCCCCTATCCCATATAGTGTTTCACTCTTTTACTTCGATTGAGTGAACATCGACCATTAACCATCCAGTGTGAGAGTAATATTGGCAATCGTATGTCTACGTTTTCGTTCATGATTCAGGCATTTCGCTTCCCTATAATGTACCCGATAAACAGGTCTTAACCACAATAGAACCGACAGAAAGCGATATGTATATATAATATACGAAAAAAACACCACCACGAGATTAAAAGAAACCACCTGTGACAGGATATATGGGAGTTTCTTAAGTCATGGTGGATCTCCAAAATTATAGGTTCAACTCCTAAAATATGTTCAAATTTGGATCATTTGGGGTATCCCATGGTATAGGAAACCTCCAAATTGGAGCAAATTGGCATATCTGAAAATTGCATATTCCACCCAAAATAATAGCTTTCTTATGGTCAGTAATCATGAGAAACCATGGGATCGGTGATGTTTTTGCCCAAGCACCAGCTGTTCGCCAACTTCTTTCAGCATCTTCTGATTGTACGAATCAAACTCTGCCTGAGAATTCGAAGTCGCTTCATCTTCTCAGTGGCAAAAGATGGCAAAAGTATCACAGAATTCATCGGAAAGACCTCTTCCCAAGTGGGAACTGAAGATATGTCATAAGTGTCAACAAGAAAACATCTCCAGTTGGCTCACACAATCATCTACTAAACAGACAAGTACGCACTCATTGCAAATTCAACATCAAATCACAGTGGTGGCGTTCATCCTAGTATCCGACTGGGACGTTCATCTGATGATGCCCCAGGTCGGAAGCGCAAAGTTTCTGAACTCCAACTAGAATAACTGTTGGGTAAATTGGTGATGACATTCTACAGTCAGAAAATGTTCAGGAAAGCCCCATGGTTAATGGGAAAAAAACACAAAATGGTTTCCGGTTAAGATTTTTCCAACGAAAATGGCGAGTAAATCAACTTTTGGCAGCAGGCTCGCCTCCAAGTCTCTCTCGTGCTTGCTATCCTCAGAGGTCGGGTGGACTGGGATTGATATGGAATCATCATTGATAATAACAATAATGATAATATATGATCATTTGATGTCATTTGTGGGTATTAGATTATAAGTATGGTAATAAATATGGGAAATAATGGGATAAACAGTAGCAAAACTATCTCCAGCTTGGATTGTTAATGGGTGGAACCATTGGACGTTACCGTTAACCCTAAGTTTGGATATAACCTCTATAACTACCCCGAAGTGGAGATACAAAGATGACGCTTGGAGCCAACTGAGCCGATCCCCAAGCAATCAATGGATTACTTTATATAAGGAAAAACAATGAAAAAAATACAGGAAAACACGGTGTTTACCCCCCCAATTTTTTTTGGTTTTCCGGATAATTATTCCTGTAAGTTGTTCCCTTCAAGCTATGGGAGAGAATCCTCGAAGTTCGTTTCATACAACCCTCCTGTAAACACAGAAGTGGAAAACCCACCATGAATGTATATACCCTCCGGTAATTTAACATGGCTATTGAATCGAAAATGGCTCATTTATAGATTATTTACCGATTAAACATTGTGATTTTCAATGGCCTTTGCCATGGCTTTTCCACATCTTTTTGAGCGCCAGGAGCTACGAGAGCGCCAGGATTTTGCCAAGACACTGGGTGTTTCCTCTCCTTGTAGGCTTCCGTTGGAAACAGCTCGCCCCCCGATTGACCTGAGCCAGTTTCAGAAGGAAAATTGAGTCACCAAAATTGAAAAGAGATATCTGAACACCCAACGCCTTGAAGACCCGATCGAAAGGGAGGTCCTTATCGCCACCCGACACTTTCCATCCAAGCAAGTCAAAGAATGTCCTCACGCACCCTGATGTGACTGTGCTGCTGGCGTCTTGTGACATGCAAATGAAATCATCAAAGTAGTTGGACCACACGAAGCCCAGGCATCGGGCTCCCAAAAACCACAAAGAATGGGCGACCCTGAGAAACGAGAACACCGACATCGTCGCGCCAAAAGGAAGGGCGTGCATCTGGAAAACTTCTGGCTTACTAGTTCCAGGATTGTAAACCGCCACGTAGGTTACCCATGATGACGACTCAGACACCGCCATCTGGCGATAAGCAGAAGCCAAATGAAACGTTTTACCAAACCATTGGCGCTTCCGGTCTCGTGCGTTGAGCTCCTTAAGGACTGCCGAGACAAAGTCAAGAGTATGCAGGAATGGAGACGCTCCAGTCTGAAGTCGTCGATGAGCCTGATCTTAGCTCCTTGTCTGATTCCAAACCTGCGATTCACAACAGCATGCTCTGGGAGATCTTCCCAAGCTATCAGCCCCGAGAGCCAACTGTCTTCGTCATGTTCACCATTCATAACATGTCATAAATTAAGAACTAGCTAGTTATGATTATTACCATCTGGTTATTTAACGTAGCCATGGAAAATTACCATTTTAATAGGTAAACCATCTATAAATGGGCCAGTTTCCATGGCTACAGTAAATAACCAGAGGGTAATGTTAGTAAAGAGATGTCAAAAACCAACCATGTGTTACTCATATGTTGATGCCTTGTACCACTCATTTATAGTATGTCAATCTAAGGATGATGGATCCTATTGCTTTACAAGCATTAATCATGATGGCTATCATCTGGTTGATCCCAGTCATTGATTCTGGTTGATCTTCACCGTCAATAAATAAAGGGTTGCCGTTGCCGCCAACACTATACAGCATGTGTAGAATAGTTTTTGTTTTGTTTTTGCCTCAGGTTTTATTTTTGGCTTTCTTCCCGGTACCATTTGCCTTGTATTTGCAACAGTTTGGAACTAGAACCTGTCATTTTGCATGGTATTTGCTACATTTTGGCATGGTCACTTTGCATTTTGCATGGTATTTGCTACATTTGGCAATGTTTGCCTTCCATTTGCATGGTATTTGTCATATTTTGGCATTTCAACCTCTGATTTGCATGGTATTTGCTACATTTTTGTGCTTCAAACGTTCATGTGGGTCTCTTGAGGGTTCTTTAGGCTTTCATTTAGGGTTTCATTTAAGGTTTCATGTAGGGTTTCATTTAGGGTTTTATTTAGAGCTTCATTTGGGGTTTAATTTAGGGTTTCATTTAGGGTTTCTTTAGGGTTTCATTTAGGGTTTCTTTACGGTTTCATGTAGGGTTTCATTAAGGGTTTCTTTAAGGCTCCGGTTTCTTTAGAGTTTCATTTAGTTTTTTTTTCCGGTTTCATGTAGGGTCTCTTATCAGGATTTCTTATCAGGAGTCCAAAACGTTCAAATGGGTTTCTTTAGGGCTTCTTTAGGGTTTCATTTAGGGTTTCATTTAGGGTTTCTTTACGGTTTCATGTAGGGTTTCATTAAGGGTTTCTTTAAGGCTCCGGTTTCTTTAGAGTTTCATTTAGTTTTTTTTTCCGGTTTCATGTAGGGTCTCTTATCAGGATTTCTTATCAGGAGTCCAAAACGTTCAAATGGGTTTCTTTAGGGCTTCTTTAGGGTTTCATTTAGGGTTTCTTTAGGGTTCCTTTAGGGTTTCTTTTAGGGTCTCATTTAGGGATTATTTAGGGATTCAGTGTGGGTTTCATTTAGGGTCTCATTTGAGGTTTCTTTAGGGTTTCATTTAGAGTTTCTTCAAGGCTTCTCTAGGGTTTCGTTTAGGGCTTCATTTAGGGTTTCATTTAGAGTTTCTTTAGGGTTTCAGTTTGGGTTTCATTTAGGGTCTCATTTAAGGTTTCTTTCGGGTTTCTTTTAGAGTTTCTTTAGAGTTTCATTTAAGGTTTCTTTAGGGTTTCAAATTAGGGTTTCTTTACGGTTTCATGTAGGGTGTCATTTAGGGTTTCTTTAGGGTCAAACGTTCAAGTGGGTTCCTTTAGGGTTCCTTTAGGGCTCATTTAGGTTGTCATTTAGGGTTTCTTTGGGGTTTCATTTAGGGTCTCATTTAAGGTTTCTTTAGGGTTTCATTTAGTTTCTTGAGGGCTTCTCCAGGGTTTCATTTAGGGCTTCATTTAGGGTTTCTTTAGGGTTTCATTTAAGCTTTCTTTAGGGTTTCATTCCAGGGTTCTTATCAGGATTTCTTTTCGCGATTTCTAAACGTTCAAGTAGGTTCCTTTAGGGTCCTTTAGGGTTTCATTTAGGGTGTCATTTAGGGTTTCAATTTAGGGTTTCACGTAGGGTTTCACGTAGGGTTTCATTTAGGGTTTCTTTAGGTTGTAAATTTAGGGTTTCAGCTCACTTGTCAGTTAAGGTTTCATTTAGTGTTTTTTTTTTTCAGAGTGTTGTTTCCGGTTTCTTTGGGATGTCATTTAGGGTGTCATGTGAAGTTTCTTTAGGGTTTCATTTAAAGTTTCTTTAGGGTTTCATTTTTGGTTTCTTGAGGATTAATTTATGGTTTCTTTAGGGTTCATTTATGTTTTTTTTAGAGTTCATTAAGGTTTTCATGTAGGGTTTCTTATCAGGATTTCTTTAGGGTTTCTTTGGGTTTCACCTAGGGTCTCTCTAGGGCTTCATTTAGGATACAAACAGAACAGAATAAAGCAAAAGAAAATGAAAAACAAAGAGACAGTAAAGACAGGAAGCAAAGAAGCAAAGAAGCGGGAAGTAGAGCAGCAAAAACACATGACTGAAGAAAAGAACAAGTAGAATAGTAGAAGTAGAAAGGCACAGAAGTACAAAAGCAGAGAAGCAGGGAAAACAGAGAAGCAGAAAAGCAAAGAAGCAGCAAAAGCAAAAAGCAGAGAAGCAGGAAAAGCAGAGAAGCAGGGAAAGCAAAAAGCAGAGAAGCAGAAAAGGAGAGAAGCAGAAAAGCAGAAAATCAGAGAAACGGGAAAGCATAGAACCAGGAACCCACAAAAAAATCCAAAACCTGCCGCGAAAAAAAATCAAAAAATCCATTGTTTCCACCCGAAAGAATCATCCAAATTAAAGGATTGCAGTGTTGAACCCCATGGTGACTTGGGGATCCCACAATCTCAGAAACCCCCGTATCATACTAAAGCTATTCAAGAATCAAGAAAAACCCTTCTGCTTGGATGACTCTCGAGTCTTCCCAAAGGTTCGAGCCCATTGCTTCGGTGCATCATGGGGAGTCTGACTTTCGTCATATACCCAGGTGATTTGAGCCGGGTGGTTGTCATTGCTGGTGCCCCATCTGATTATTTATAGGAATTTATTGGGACTTATAGGCAGGGACTTATAAATTATCCAAGTTATTTATGATAGCTTCAGACCACCATCAATTTCCAACCGGAGTTTGAACAAGGCACCCTTGATGTAGAAGACCGGGTAGTGTGAGCGCAAATACCTGGGGCTAGCGGCATTGCCCCTCAACCAGCTCTGCACAGTCCTCCGAAAGCTGCATCGCCAGGATACGCATCGCCCTCGCTTTGATTCTCAAAACGAAAGAGCCGCAGCACCGTCTCGAAATGGGTCCAGTCATCAAACAGGGCACCAATGTCCTAGGTCGTGGTGCTTCGCTCCAAGCAGCATAGCTGGCTGGGAGATTCCCGAAGTAAATGGAGGTGTTAAACAGTGTTAATTGGTAAAATCATATTTGTATAAATATATAAATGATTTAAATGATTTTAGTTGTTATTAGTTGTTACACTTTGTGGTTCACTCCAGTTTTGTTGGTAACATACTCTAGCTATCTGTCTGCCTGTCTGTCTGTCTATCTAGCTATCTGTCTGCCTGTCTGTCTGTCTACATATCTATCCATCCATCCATCCATCCATCCATCCATCCATCCATCCATCCACAAATTTATTTTTTGCCTAATCTAAGAATGTAATCAACCCTAAATTATCAATATGATATATTATATTCATTAATATGAATATGAAACATCCAAAAAACTCATCGAATCTACCTCGCGCAATTGCCAGTTATCTACAGTATGAATTTTCTATCTACTCATTGGCTTTATCAAATACACTTTCACCTCACACTCACAAAGTTGTGGGGCCAAGTTATAAAATACGTTATAATTGATCCCATCTAACTATACGTTTAACTGCCAGAAACCCCAGTTAACAACAGTTAACCTACGTATAGTTACATATATTACATATTCGTATAGCTAGCCTTCACGTGTTCACCCCAGCATCCGAAGGAATCACCCGGAGGTTGATGGCGCTGGCGGGGAGGCCGCTGTCAATCAATGCCTGGTTCTGACGCGAAGTGTGATGATCCTGAAAAATTAAACGCAAAGAATGGGACAAAAAAGAGATGAGTAATGGTGATTTAACCACTGAAAATGGGTGACTTGGGGCGAAACCTCGCATTTTTCGGCACTGAAAAGAGGTCAGGTATATTGCTTGATAATAGGTAAGTTGGCTTATTTCACGAGGTATGGTTTATGGTCGATGTCTATACTCAGATGGGTTTAGCAACCAACTTATAACTTCCGGGGCCCCCTTTCCCGTGGTGGTGTGAGAATATTTGGCATCAAAATACATTGGTAAACTTGGGTTCAGGGTAGCTAAAACTGTGTTTCATGGGTGATTTCCTTGGCAACCATGGTTGTTTGGTTCACCCGTTTGTATGGCACTTTGTTGAATGCTTTCCTCGTCACATCTCGTCACTCGCTCACGACTCAAAGCATGAGTCAAAAAAATACCCGGAATTCCCATAAACTAGCATTTTGAGTACGCTAGATATCCCATTACCTATCAACTAAAACCTCATTCATGGTGGTTCCAGCTTACGGACAACCCCCCCCAGAGATGTATGAAAGTCAACTTCCAGCAAAAGTAGACGGGTAATGAAGGGTACTATATAGCAACCCTCTAGTTGGAAACATTGGGGCACCTCTATTCCTATAATTAATCAAGGTTGTTGCGGTACATCAGAATATCCCATGATACTTCATATATATTTGACATATCTTGTTGCTTCTATCCCCATAATGCCAATACAGAGATCAGGTTACCCTCTGGTAAACTAACATAGCCATAGAACATGGCCCAGTGATAGATGATTTACCAATATTTACCTATTGACAATGATGATTTCATGCAATAGTTATGTTAGCCTTTTTTATCAGTTACAAGTTATAAGTCAGTAAGTCGCCCCATTTATGGTCATCAATCCCGTATAAATCCCCATGTTTGTTGGCTAAACCAGCATTATCCTAGGGTTTTGTCTGGCCATATAACTAGTTTTCACCATGTTTCACCATTTATAACTAAAAAAAGTCACTGGTAAAGGGTTATCAATTCCAGATAAATCCAGCATTTTTCTTGGTTAAGTATGGTTAAACCATTTCCAACGTGTACAATGGCGTACAAGCCGGGCTTTCGCGCGCCCTGGACCCTGCCTGCTGCACCACCTTGAAGGTCGAACGACTGGCCGTCAAGACGTGCGCGAAGACGCCATCCTCCGTCTGTTTCAGGTTCCTGGTTCCAGGTGTCACGATTTCCATGGGAAAACCATAGGCAAACCATAGGAAAATGGCGATTTAGGCAAGAGCAATGGTGATTTAATGGGAGCTAAAGGTGCTGATAAACCGTCAATGTGAATTTCCGGACCCTAAAAGTTTGAGTTACTGTAGCGGTAGCGTTTTTCAGGCCATATGTTCTGGGGATTCCGGGAAATTTAGGCCTTACAATTACATAGGCTGTACATAAATATGGAATCAGTACCTCCAATCAATCGGTCCCTGTTGCATGGCCATTGATCCGCTGGGTGGCTGAAAATTGGCTGGGTAAGTCAGCTAAGACTTGGATGGGCCATGAGAGTTCTTGGGTACGCGTGAACCTGGGCAAAATATCTCCCCAAAATGGCAATTTTAAGAAGGCAAACGAGGAGAAACCATAGGATTTGGGGGTTCCATTTTTTGAGACACCCCAAATAGAGGACCCAACAATTTCATCATTTATACTAATTCACATCCATGATGATCCTCGAAATCTAGATCTGGGGTATAACCTCTTAGAACTGGGGTATGGTTGAAAAAAACATGGGTTAAAAAAAAGAACCATTCTTTTCTAATTGCATAAGAAAAAACTAAAAAGTTACAGTATGCTATCGTGGAGGTATATATCTCATAATATCTCATAATGTATCCATGTGTGATGATGGAGCCAATGGATACTCCACCCCCCCTTCGAGATGAGTGTTCCTTTTGTCATTTTTTCTTGCATCTGGTCTCATTCCCCGTTCATATTCGTTTCATCCGCATGGAATGATGCTCCCAATCATAATATGTGGATTCATCATGATTCATCCTCTACTTATTTCGAAAATAATATTGACAAAATCCGCCGGCCTGCCGGCGTGTCTTGTGGATCTTGCTTGTTCGTAGTTGTACTGTTTATTTTGTCTTTGGTCTTTGTCTAGACTTTCCCCTTGGCGTGGATTTTTGCCTCGTCTAACTTGAACCCACCCCCCCCTCCCCCACCCCCCTCCCCCCTTCATCATCCGCGTCGCGCTTTTCATCTTTCGTTTCACCCTTTGTTTACAGACATGATTGGTTTCAACTCAAACCCCGGTTTACGCAAAAACCATGTTTTGTGTCTCCTCTTCGTGTTTTTCCTCTGCGTCTTTCGTTGCAATGTGCTGGGTTCGACTCTGCCCACGCCTCGCGCAACATGCGCATGTTCTTTTTTGTTCCCATTTCCATTTTGGTGCTCGCGATCGGTTTGCTCTGTCATACAGGTGGCCTGTCAATCCACTTGCTTTTCTGCAGAGCACCATTTACACGTGCAACCTTTCTATGTATGGCCTTTTCCAAAAACCTTGGTTCACACACTGCTTCGGTTTTAAATTCAAAACCTGGTTTACGCAAACACCATGCTTTGTGTAAAAGCGCATCTTCCTACTAAACAAAACGCTGATTCACAGAAAAAACGTGTTTTAAGTGTTTCACAGAAGCACCATTTTTTACACAAACATCTAGAAAAATCATGTTCTTGCTTCGCCCTTCTATCCTGGCTGCTGCTATGCTGAGCTGCACGCACTTGCACTTTATCTCCTCCTATGTCCTGTCTCTGCTGTACATGTTTAAGACGCCAAAATCTTTTCAGTTGCGTCCATGGCCCCAAATCTGCACCCCTATCCTGACTGCTGCTACGCTTTACTGCATGCACTTGCACTTTATCTTTCCAGTATGTCATGTCTCTGCTTTGAAGGTTTGAGAAACCCAAATAGCTCTGGCCGTGGTGGCCGGCGGAACACGCCAACGGCGGTTAAATGAAATAAACCATCCAGCGAGCTATTGGGGGTAGCCCCATGACTATGGAAATCCCAATCTGAATCATTGGAAAGTTGGATGTCTTTGGGTGCTGCCCCATCTCCGCACAATTCTGGTTCAGCACACTCCGAAAAAGGCAACCAGTGAACTCAATATGAAAAACTGGCGTGTGCTTAAGATCAGCATTTAGGTGGAGTTGTAATTATCTCATTTTCAAACAAAAAGTAGGTTAGCCTCTGGTAAACGTTTACACAACTATGGACAATCACCATTTTTAATGGGTAAATCAACTATAAATGACTATTTTCAAAGCAACCTGTTTGTTTACCAGAGGGTATATCATGTGATATCGATATATCCCATCCCATTGCATGATATTGATGGTATCCCATCATCTCCACCGATGGTATCCCCGTATCCCCATAAAGTTGATGGTTCTATCACCGTTTTCCCGAAGCTATCACCGTTCTCCATCTATAAGTGGTATGGTAAAGTCATCTCCAACACGAAATCATGGTCCCAGGTTCCATAAATTGGTTGTCCCATCACATGCTTGGAATTCACCCAGTTTTTCCTTCTTGATCTATACAGAAATAATTCACTCATCTGGATAAAGGCCACCATTGCGTCTTAGTATCGACACAGTGAGGTCGTTTTAGATTTTCCATGTCATGAAGTGACCAAGTCTTGGTCAAACCCACGTCGAGTTTCAAGTTGTTCACGCTATCTCCCAGACTGCTGAACTGCAACCCCCTGGCAGAAGACCATGAGCAAAGTAGTCAAGTGGGACGAAGGGAACATATCTGAGAAATGGTTGATAGGTTCATGGCCAATCTTAGATACCCTGCACAAAATTAAATTCTTAGCTGGTTAATTAGTAAATAATCCCGTTGATGCCAAAAGACTAAAAGAGTAGTTTTCTAAGATTGGCCTAGGGTTGTTGAATGGTTGATTCACACGTTGATATGACTTTCCAATGGTTGAAAGTTGAAACGTGCTTGGTGATGTGTCGATCTTTCTGGGAGTCTTCGCCTCAGTGTCATGGAGACTAGTAACCTTACCAATGCAAGGATGGATGTCATTACTACACTTGGGATTACCATCGTGTTCCAAAACCCTCATCTGGGACTGTTAAATGGTCTTGCTATAAGAATTCTGTTGATCCAACACCAGATCGTTTTGATCCTAACACCCTCTGGTACTCAAACGTAGTTGGCTGGAGAAAAAAAAACATCAAGAAGAATCAAGCATTATTGTTTGGAAAATCATCTATTATAAATACATATAAATACATGTTAAGAGGATGTTCCATTCCCAATCTTTCCCAATGGCAAAATCATGTCTAAATTGCATAAATGGATGATTTTCCGGCCATGATGGGCTCCCGTAACCACAGCCGGACCACTGGTCGAACTTGGAAGCCCCACCTGCGTGGGACCCACAAGGCGAAACTGGTGAAGGAGAAGTAGTCCACCTCCGGTGGGCGCCGTGCAATGAGCAGCACCGCATCCTGAAAAACGACAGCAGGGCAGCGTGGCCAAGGATAAGGAGAATTCCCTATCAGATATCTCAAGTCGGCAATCCAAACCAGTTTTCCGACTTTTGGCAGCTACCCTATGGTAAATCAACATGTAAACGATATGGAACGTCCAGCATTGTGTAGCTCATTTCCGTCTGGGAAACTCGCAGATTTCCATCTCTTTTTGTATGTTCAGCCTAGACTAATCGCTGCCCCCACAGTCCTGACGTTTCATATGCCACATGGGCGAAGGCAGGAAGAAGCCAAAGGCGGGGAGGGCCAGCCACATGTACCTCGGATGGTTACCAGGTGGTGCCCTGTAACCAGTCATAAGTTGGTTAAGATACCCCACTGAGTATAATGTATAATAATATATATATACAATATTATATAATAAAAATATTATATATATATATATTATTCTATATATAATATACATATTATATTATATATATACATTATGTATATAATATACATACCTTATAAGTCATAGATATTTGAGCTAAGTTGGTTTACTTCACCAAGTTAACCATGGTTTCTGGTAGGTATATCTTCCAAGTGGAGCCGCTACGTTTTGACACTCATATTTTTGGTTTTCGGGTGCCGCATCGAAGGTAGAGTCATACGGTTCCCTCAAGTATCATGAGATGAAGCGATGAATCCACAATGACTTCAGTCACAGTCACCCTGTCCAAGCTTTGCCATTTGATAGTAAGATGTACCCTGAGGTAAACGTTTACATAACTATGGAAAATCACCATCTTTAATGGGTAAATCAACTATCAATGAGCCATTTTTCAATAGCTAATTATGTTAGTCTACCAGAGCCTAACAATCAATGGATTCATTTCACAGCGTTTAGATTGGATCATCCCGTTGATCATCGCAAGGAACGGCGTATTGGGATTGCTGCCGAAGTGATCCGTGAACAAGGACCTCAGGCTGGAAGGCCCCTCAGTAGGCTTTGAAACATGGCAGTTTGCACCAAAAATGGTTGGTCAAATCGATGTTCATTTGCCATTCCTATGCAATCAGAAGTTCCTGAATGCTGAGTACACTCCTGAAAGTTTGACAAAATGCCGAAAAAGTTCCACCATTGAATCAGGGTCTGTAGCGGAGAGTATCTTGTGAAGGGAATGGTGTGGGCGGATGGTGACACGGTTCAAACTCAACCAGCAGCCCAAGGTCCAACACACAAATCTAAGATGAGAATGATAATTCTTAAATGACTTTAACACCTTTAACTATAGAAAAAAAAGAAACTTACACTCTGGTAAACATTCACAATTCGCTATTGAAAATTGCCATAGAAAGTTCGTTGACTTACCCATCAATAGCTATGTGATCTTCAATAGCTATGTAAACGTTTACCAGAGGGCAAGTTTGAGGTTCCATGAATTGTTTAAGGCGTTCTACTGCAACATCTCGCCCATCTCGCCCCAAAGTTTATCGCTGTCCAACAGATGCCACGACACCAGAAGAAGGTATCACGATCTCTCAGCATCTCTCCTTGCAGCTCCCAAGCTAGAGATCAAGTGAGGCTTGCCCTCTGGTAATTTAACATAGCTATGATTTTTAATGGTTACTGTATATCCATGTAAATATGTTATAAATTTTGAAATGACAACACGTGCAAACGTCAAAATCAATATTCATCTTTCTATGCATTTTGCATGTCAAGATGTTAACTGAAAAAAACTGTCAATGTGTCGTACGATTCTACATGTTTGTTCTGACCACTCGATTAAATGAATAAACACATCCACAAATAAATAACAACATTATACACATAACTACAATATAATGTACAATCATGATCTGATATAAGATTTGCAACAGTTCGGCAGATACCATATGGCTGAAAAAAAGTTTGAACACTTATGAAAACAGTGGTGATTTTGCAAATGCAGGAACATAACATGGCTCACAACAAATTGCTCGGGCCCAATACGTGACCACTGATGCTACCCAGCAAACCAAGGTTCGGACAAACATCCAATCATCGATGACAATTAAATCTCAATGGGACGGAGGGATCCGGAGGGAATATGTACATAGTCATGAGTATATATATATATAATCTGTATATATATATATATACATACACACTGTATATATATATATATATATATACGCTGTATATGATATAAAGCCATGTTTTGGGGATATCCCCTTACATAGGCCCCCTTACTAATTGGCATTACAAATGGTAGGTACATCCAATCATCGGTGCCTGAAATGGCCATTGTTCATCGTCATGAATTTTCCCAAATAGGATTTAATAGATGTTTACAATCTCCCATCAAATCACATCAAATCACCATAATTTTCTCCAGTTCAACCCCAAAATTGTTTAGCAATCACCATTCTTCACCATATATTTTTATTCAGTTGAACCCCCTTTGTTTTAGTCATTTATATATACCCTCTGGTTATGACTAACAGTTCGCCATGGAAAATCACCATGCTATTAAGTTCGGTAAACCATCTATTTCGATTAGGGCCATCAACAAACCATGGCGAACTGTTAGTCATAACCAGAGGGTAGATTCAACCCCTTTTGTTTAGCAATCACCCAATCACCATTCTTCACCATATTTTTCTTCAGTTGAACCCCCTTTTTTTTAGTCATTTTATATAGATTCACCCAAGAAATCCAGAAATGGTCTCCTCGACTCGTCACCTTCGCTTCATCCTGCCTGTCCAGCTGTCGTTGGAATCGCACGCTGAGCTGTGCCACTGGGGCATCGCTGCAGGCTGGAGGCGATGGGAGGAAGACACCTGGCGGCAAGTCATACGGGGATGTGAACCTTCAAAAAAAGAATGGAGGGCTATTGTAAAAATTGGAATTTTAAGGCTTAGATTCCCCCCCATGACTTAGAAACTAAGTTTGATGTTGAAACAAATGGGATATTTCACTAAAACATGGGGATATGTCATAGCAAATCATCTGAGTAAATTGATGAACAAATGGGACATGATCACATTTCCATGTTTTTTAGTGAAATATCATAACATATCAAAATGTGCTAGTGAAATATCAAAAATGGTGCATCTGAGTAAATCATGATATTTCATTTAAACATATGTATAAACCATGAAATAAGATGAAACAAGTCCAGGGATTCATCCACGATACATTCACCATATCACGTCACGGTGAGGTCACTATAATGTGCCCAGGCATCAAGAATGTCATCCGATGATCTTTTGTTCTTGTGAGATAGTAGCAGGCTGTCCATCATTTCGTCAGCATCCACAGAATCCACAGCTTAGATGATTTAAATTTGAAGCATAGTTTGTCTTGATTCCTGGCCACTCGAAGGGCAATGAACTACAGTTCTTGTTTGATTCTGCATGAACTGCCAGCTACATGGCTACATTGTGTGCATATTTTTTGGGAGCGACAAGTGGAAGTCTACGGCTTCATGGGCCACACTCCATTCACCCACCATTCACCCACTCACCTGCCATTGACACCTCGCTATCCCCACCTCCACCATCCCAGGCATTCCACATATGCGGCACCCAAAAATGGTAAGGGACTCCGTTTAATCCAGGTGGTTATCATCATTTTCCCCAAAATGGCTAAAGGATTGAGATCATGTTCAAAGAATCCCAGGGTTTCCTGTCCACTTTTAAGGCTGAGCCAACCTACTATAACCTATTCACTGAGATGAACCACGGCGATGAACCACCTCCTAAATAGCTCAGCACCACTCCAAGCACTCCAAGGAGCACTAGCCGCCGCGCCATGACGTCACATGAGGCCCTTCCCGTGCAGTTCTACATCGAAAAATTAGGTTTTGAGCTAAGCAATAGCAAATTTCATGGTCAATCTCCGATAGTCCATCTGTTGCTGGTTATGGTTATTTTCCATTTATAGCAACAAAAATGCAAACTAACCAAAGGATTTAACTACCCATTCAAGGTTGGGGGTGAATTGGGCTTCAAGCAACAAAAGTTTTTGGATGTATAGCAACCCCAAAAAAGAGTAGAAAGGTTCAATTCATCGCTATTTCAGTCTTGGATCCATTGTTTTCTATCGGGGCCGGGGGATGTTTTAAAACAACCAAAAGCGGAGATCGAAACAGCAATGGTGTGGAATTCAACACTCTTCAGTAGTAAAACCAAGGAGTCTTTCCATGGACAACTGGTGAGACTATGTGTGTTGGATGGTGTTGAGAACTTTGATTGAAGCACATCATCATGGAAAGATTCTAAAGACCCTTCAAACAAAACATTATTAGTCTGAATCGTCCTTAGATGCCCTGGGCACAAACATAATTGGTTAGTGTATAAGTTCCCACATACAATGAAAACATGAAGATGAAGCTACCCAACAAACAGGCCGGGTGTGCCAGCAATGATCATCGCAACAATTATATATATATATACATATTATACTGGTTGGTGGTTTCAACCCCTCTGAAAAATATGAAAGTCAGTTGGGATGATGAAATTCCCAATATATGGAAAAATAAAAGCCATGTTCCAAACCACCAACCAGTTATATATAATAAATATAAACTGTCTTTCGAAGCAAAATAGCTGAGCGGAATGAAGAGTTCCACACTGATTCGAAAAAAACTGTAGTCCAATTCTTCACACCCAAAATTGCCAATGGCATTGAGTACACGCCTTGATGTCAGTAAAGCAATAATAAAAGTAATTTTATTCAACTAGCCATATGTTGATGGTTTATACCACCCATAAAGATTGTAAAATTGGAGATGATTTACTTATGGGTGGTATAAACCCATTGGAACCATTTACATATGGGTGGGTATATCCAATGTTTTACCAACATTCTGTGTCTTTACATGGAACCTTCAAAAAATGGGGTCCCTAAGATCGTGTAAATGATCTGGCCCAACAGCTTCTGTCTGAAACCTAAGGACCTAGTCTCATCCTACTGACGTGGCAGGAATCAATGATTGAAAGCTGCTGTAAAAATGGATTGATTCAAAGAAAACAAATACAGGAAACTATTGTGTTTACATGTTTTTTTACCTCAAAAATACCGAGGCTTCCCAATGAACTTTCCCTGGAAACAAAATCTGAGACACAGCACTGTTGACCTTCCCTGGGATTTGCTGAGTAGACTGCTCCATCTGCTCTGGTGATATGGGTACTACAATGTACTTCAATGTTGTTGCGATAAATAGTGATATAGTGAATGTAGTCTGTAGAAATATATATATATACTATGATATTATATGATAAATACTTATATAGTGGCTTACAGGGTGTGTATATATATATATTATGGATACAGACGATGTAACCAGCTAAACAGATTGACCATGTATAATGGGATGGGATAAGGGATAAGGCTATTTGTCATGGCTCATGCTGGACTTGGATGATTTGGTGATGCTTCACACCCCGCTTTCCGCATCAACATTGATCAACGGTCAAGACTCAGCAACAGCGTGAGTAATTTTTTCTTACAGACTCTGACACCAGGTCCAGCTGTCCGCTACCAGGAGCACGAGGCCGCTTGCTATTTGAAGGCTAGATTCGCTGGGGATCCAAACAGGGCATTAGATGAAACCCAAAATGTGAAGGTTGTTGGGAAAATGAGGTCTCAAACCATTTAAGAAACCATACCATGTTTTTTTTGCGCCACAAAAGCAATTGCAAGTCTGTGTGGGGAACATGAGATTTTTAGCCGTATTTAAGCTACTCTAGCCTATGTTCCAACACATGCAGATTGAAGGAAAATCCAATCCACATTACAGAAGCTCATGTTTTTTCTTGAAGCATGTTGCTTGATTGTGCTAACGTGGGTACCATCCGTGTTTGGCTTAGTGAAAAATCCACCTTTTTTGGCTGGTTTTTTTTAAGGGTTTGTGAACTTGCTGGATTACAACACCAAAATCATCCAACATCAATTGCCATTTCAGGAACCTAAATCCGAGGTACCTACCATATGTAAGGCCTATATAAGGCCTATGTAAGGGAATATCCCCACAAAATAAGGCCTTATATGGTACAGTACCTCCATTTTAGGATCCTGAATTTCCCATTGACAACATGCCCTCTGGTAGACTAACATAGCGAACTGGAAAATCACCATCTTTAAGTTTCTTGTATATCAACGAACTATCCATGGGCCACTTTCAAAAGCGAACTGTTAGTCATTATCAGTTTGGGTATCCAAAATGGATCAGTTTTTACAGGGCAAGCGATGGATCTTTGGGGTTTTGCCTCCTGGAAGCTGGACAATTCGCCGACCCAAAGGCTCCAAAGGCTCAGTTGCCTGGGGTCATCTCTCGCAAAAAAAATGTACCTCTGGCAACACTCAAAGACATGATCTCTAAATGAATATAGATTATGGATGTCCCATATCTAACAATCTACTCTAGGGTAAGGCATGGCATTAGCAAATTAGTCCATCCACCAAAAATTGTTTGCCATCATTGAGCTTGGCATACCATTCTCTTGGTACAAGTTTAGTTCCAGTGGCCGGCTGTCTATTTCTCACTGGCTTTCCCTTTCTCACTGGAATCCTCTTTCTCACTGGAATCCTCTTTCTCGCTGGACTCCTCTTTCTGCTTATTCTGTCGCCTGCGCGGCACGGGCCAAGGAACTCGGAACTTTGCCGGCTGGGAGTTTACCTTCCTTATTGGGACCATAGGATCTGTAGTGAGGTTAAAGAATACTTGAACAATCTTCGATCCAATCTTTAAAGTGTGTTTATTGGTAACCTTCGATCCTTCACTGCTAAGGCCGGGGAGGCAAAGAATGGCTGCAACCACTACAATCCACTTGGAGGATCATCAAACGAAGAAAGTAACTGGCTAATCACCATATTCTAGTTAGTTATAACTAAGCTAATCCGGCTTATTGACTAATCTGGATTAACTGTAATAACTATAATAACTACCCTCTAGTAATTTAACATAACTATTGAAAATTGCCATTTAGAGTTCGTTGAGATTTACCCATTAAAAATGGTGATGTTCCATAGCTATGTGAGTTTTTTTCCATAGCTTTTTGTATGTTGACCAGAGGGTAACTATCATATCTAGCGATCACCATGGATAACCCCAGGAGGTGAACCAATCCTCAGAATGTTCTTCATAAATGGGGAATCCCCAATAGCTGGCTGGATGGTAAGAAAAAACATGGAAAAACCTAGCTATAAATGGATGAGAACTGGGGGTACCTCTATTTTCGGAAACCTCCGACTATAGGTTGTAGATATCTGTACTTGATGGGGTCTTTTTTAACCAACAAACACTTCACGTTTGGGGGCACTACGTGCACTACGTCTTGAAGGATTCGAAGTCACCCAGCTTCAAAATACGGCAGCCCGGCTTCATGCCTCTTCTTGATGATGTTGTAGGCTGTGAAGGCGACGATGTTGCCAAACACAGCACCTGTTGTCATAATTTCATGGGTAGTCCCAGGTCCCAAGATAGCATATGAAACTCCACTTTTTCGGGCACTTGGAGGGTCTACTTGGTCGGAGTTTCAAACAAATTGGTAAATGCAGGCCCTTTAAACCAGTTGTAAGTCAGTAAGTCAGCCCATTTATGGTTTGTTATAAGCCAATTTATAACCACTTGTAGCTGGTAAAGGGCTTTAACTCTGAGTAACGATCTATTTTCCACTTACAAGCCCATATGCTTCATGTATGGTATATTTACCTACATTTGGGTCATTTATGGGGTAAATGTTGGTGAATATTCCATACATGGAGCATATGGGAAGGGATAACACCAGTTGTGTTCATCTCCAGATTCTCCAGCATCCGCTTGTCGAACAACTTCAGGCCAATCCCGCTAGACATGGTTCATACAGGATGGGGGGCCCGCGGTGAAATGTTTGTTAATGTATGAACTTCATGAAAAGTAGTTCGATATATGATATATATACACCCTTATATATATATTATATGTATGTGTATCTATCCATCCATCCATCCATCTATCTATCCATCTATCCATCCATCCATCTATCTATCTATCCATCCTCTGCCTCTTTCTGAACCATAGTGAAATTGGAGTTGCAACCCCCTTAGCCATCGTTTATGGCCAGACCTTGTAGGTAATTTAAACACAGACATTTTGGGCACAGCTCAGTTGGGTTCCACCCAAGGCCGTTAGGCGAACTGCAACGAGCTTTCGACACCCTGGCATGGGTTAGGTCTTAAACATGTGGGTGCCCCCCAACACGGTGAGAAAATAAAATTATGAATATGTCATAAATCAGAAACACGGCAGTTTAACCATAATTTCACCTAGTTATGTTCACATATGTTCACCAACTTTGCTATGATGAATCACCTATAAATCCCAATGTTTGACCATTTTTGTTGGTTTTCCCTCCATGTTTCATGCTATAAAAAGTGCCCCACCCTGGTGCCCCTGGGACCACCCTCCAAGCTCTCCAAGGCACAAAATTTCAAGTAGCCTTTGGCATCATGTGGTCGATTGCCCTGGCAGTATCGACACACCAGATTTAAACCACCAGTTTCCTGCAAGATACGGTGCCCCATCTTGCGATAGTTAGGTTACGGTGACCATTTGCCTATCGGAGAATTCCATGTTTGTCTGGTTGGTGGTATACGTACCCCTCTGAAAAATGATGGACTTCGTCAGTTGGGATGATGACATTCCCAAGATATGGAAAGTCATAAAAAACCATGGTTCCAGTCACCACCAACCAGCTATAAACACACGTGGTATAGCCATACTCCAACTTATTTTTGGCAGGTAATGGCAGGTTTGATGGGAAACTGTTTTTCTGAACCCTTGGACCTTAAGGCTAGTCCA